ATGGATCTCTACAGAAACACTGGACAAGATCAAAGAAAGGAAGAACAAGAAGGCAGCAATAAACAACAGCCGAACACGAGCAGAGAAAGTCCAAGCACAAGCTGAATACATAGAAGCAAACAAACAAGTGAAGAGGAGCACTAGAGCCGACAAGAAGAAATATGTGGAAGAACTAGCAACGACGGCAGAAAAAGCTGCTAGAGAAGGAAATATGAAACAGCTTTACGATACAACGAAGAAACTAGCAGGAAAATACAGTAAACCAGAGAGACCGGTCAAAGACAAAGAAGGCAAGTCAATCACCGAAATTCAACAACAGCGGAACAGATGGGTAGAATACTTCGAGGAACTCCTGAATAGGCCGGCTCCAATGAATCCACCGGACATCGAAGCGGCACACACAGATCTTCCCATAGACGTCAACCCACCAACGAAGGAAGAAATCAGAATGGCCGTCAGACAAATCAAGAACGGGAAAGCAGCGGGTCCGGACAACATACCAGCTGAAGCACTGAAGTCAGACATCGAAGCAACTACAAACATGCTTTATCTTCTATTCAAAAAGATTTGGGAAGAGGAACAAGTGCCGATGGACTGGAAAGAAGGGCACCTCGTCAAGATTCCAAAGAAAGGAGATCTGAGCAAATGTGAAAACTATAGAGGCATTACACTGCTGTCAATACCAGGGAAGGTCTTCAACGGAGTGTTGCTGAACCGAATGAAAGATGCAGTAGACGCCCAACTTCGAGATCAACAAGCTGGATTCCGTAAGGATCGATCATGCACAGACCAAATTGCAACACTACGGATCATCGTCGAACAATCAGTTGAGTGGAACTCATCACTATACATCAACTTCATTGATTATGAAAAGGCATTTGACAGTGTGGATAGGAGGACGTTATGGAAACTTCTTCGACACTACGGAATTCCTGAAAAGATTGTCAACATTATCCGGAACTCATACGACGGACTACAGTGCAAAGTCGTGCATGGAGGACAGCTGACAGATGCATTCCAAGTAAGGACCGGAGTCAGACAAGGCTGTTTACTCTCTCCCTTCCTCTTTCTTCTGGTGGTTGACTGGATTATGAAGACCTCGACATCTGAAGGAAAACACGGAATTCAATGGACAGCTCAGAATCAATTAGACGATTTGGACTTCGCAGATGACCTAGCCCTCCTATCACGTACACATGAACAGATGCAGATGAAGACAGCCAGTGTAGCAGCAGTCTCTGCATCTGTAGGCCTCAGCATACACAAAGGGAAAACCAAAGTCCTCAAATTCAAAGCGGCAAACAACAACCCAATCACTCTTGATGGCGAAACTCTGGAAAATGTAGAGTCCTTCACATACCTGGGAAGCATCATCGATGAACAAGGAGGTTCAGATGCAGACGTAAAGGCAAGGATTGGCAAAGCAAGGACAGCATTCCTACAGTTAAAGAACATATGGAACTCAAAACAACTTTCAACCAATATCAAAGTGAGAATCTTCAATACCAACGTCAAGGCAGTTCTACTGTATGGAGCTGAAACTTGGAGAACTACAACAACCACAATCAAGAAGGTACAAGTATTTATAAATAGTTGTCTACGCAAGATACTCAACATCCATTGGCCGGATACCATCAGCAATAGCCTTCTGTGGGAGAGAACAAACCAACTTCCAGCTGAAGAAGAAATTAGGAAAAGACGATGGAAATGGATAGGACATACATTACGCAAATCTTCAAACTGCATCACGAGACAAGCCCTAACTTGGAATCCTGAAGGGAAGCGAACAAGAGGAAGGCCAAAGAACACATTGCGTCGGATAATAGAAGCAGATATGAAAACGATGAATTACAACTGGACGCAGCTAGAAAGGATTGCCCAGGACAGGTTTGGATGGAGAATGCTGGTGAGCGGCCTATGCTCCTTCACGAGGAGTAACAGGCGTAAGTAAGTAAGTAAGTCGTCCATAAATTATAGTTTCGCCGATTAATGGATGAAAAATCTTAACAACTCCGTTGAGCTTCTAGCGACGGTTCCTACAAACTTCCAGTCAAATGAATTGATCCTGTATAATCGTCATGTTGGCGATAAAAAGACTAGTAACTGCATCTATCTATCATAGTTTGTATAATGACCAAAATTCGAAGAATTACATGCATAATATTGGACATGAGTAAAGTTTTACTAATGAAACTAATTGTAAGGAGAAATTCAGACGACCAACAAGAAGGAAATAAAACATTCTACCTATAGACGATACAGCTTAAACCGATTGTTGGTTGACCATACAGTCAGACACCTGTAATATCTCAGAAAAAGCCAAAAGTAGTGGTTGTAAGGGTTAGAAACAACTGAACACATCACTAAACTTACTTGTTGAAATACAGTCATATTCTACGAACAACGCTGGTTCAGCTACATTGTCGATTATGAAAGAACATTCTCTCGCCAACAAATCACCAGATAAGTCAGGTGAATAATGAACGGAATTTTTACATACAGAATGAACAGAACATCCTATAGATATATTGACAGTCACACTGACCCAACAATTTCGAGAATTGTGTGCACAACACCGATTGGTTGATTTCGACATAAGTAGAATCTCACGAAAATAACCAAAGTGAGCTTCATGAATAATTATTGTTTTGTACTGAAGTAACATATTATTACGTAACGTACCAGAGAAAAATTATGTGAGTAACAAATGACGTTGATAGTCTTTCGTAGCGGTTTTATGAACGTATACAGGAATAATGTATAACACCACATTAAGTAGGCACAAAACCTTCATAAGTAAAACGATGGGTGTCTCTTCTGAGCATGGTGACAAAACCATATCGTACTTAATACTGATTTATGATGTGTCTGTTATAGGGTTGACGAATAAGTTTCTGTAAACGGAATGCGCAATCGCAGACCTAAATGTGAACAAAGTTAGAATGCATATTGTCGAGTAATATGTAAATTGTGCTTACCAATTTTTCTTGCTAATACCAAATGTCTAGACGAAATACTACAAGGGTTAGAAACTGAAGAGCGCTGTTTACATAAAGTTCCCAGTGCTTGTTACGACACAGACTTCAATCAAATAACAACTATTAATGAGTTAATTCATGAATTCTTACTGCATTACAGACTGACTCGTCCAAAGTAATTCATGCGGACAACGTGACAAAAAGTGAATGAGCAATGGAAGCTAAATCACAAGTTTCTAGTATTCATATCTCCTTTATGTCACATTAATTCATTACATTTTCTTCATGAGTCAGACGACGCTTTTATGTTGTGATGATACTAACTACATCAATTTGTAAATAACACTGATTTGTGTGTTGTGAAGATTATCTATGAATTTTTATTAACGGAAATCTAAATCTCTAATGATTAACGCTGTTTGCAAATAAGAGACTTATAGGTACATTCTGTAACCTGCTATTTGATTGATTTATCGAATGTGATACTGATAGCTAAGTTTAATTTTTTATTTCACGACTGATTTGTTGTTTTTTTCATAATTGTATGCATCCAGTAAAGTCCTAAAAGCTTTGTGATGATGTTTATGCCGGTCTATAACTTATGGAATTTGTGATTATGGAAGATCATGTGAAAAACCGGTTTACAAGTTTATGATAACTGTGTTCCATATTACCTAGTGATATTTTTATTCAACTAATGAATTATTGAAATATAAACATAACAACTACACACAGTGTTTTACTTTATAAACCGTGTTCGTATTTATAAATAGTCGATATGATGCTAGAACAAATATAGATAGAGAATATCAGAATGGGTTTTGTGGAGTTTTAGAAATTTCACAGATTGAAATCATGAGTCAGTTGAAGCTAGACCACCATTGAAAACCTGGAAGCACTGGACGGCCGTTCTGTCCTAGTATGGGACTCCTCAGCAGTGCGCATACACGATCCCGCACCACGCGGGGCTCGAACCCGGGACCTACTGGCTTCGCGTGCGAGCACTTAACCACTGAGCCGGCATCCAACGGTGTTAATGCCTAACTTCAACCAATCCACGAAGTTGCGCCACCGTACACCAGTTGTCTTCAGTGAGTTGTTATTTCACAACAGACCTGGTTGAACTCCACTGGTAACGGCTTCTTACTAGAACTTAAGGAGTTTTTCCTGAAGTCAGTCACTAGTGAGCAGGACGAAACGGCCATCCAGTGCATCCAGGTTTTCAATCGTGGTCCAGCTTCAACTGACTCATGATTTCAATCTGAGATAGAGAATAATATGAATTCATTATAATCCATGGAATGAACAAGTAATAAGACGGATTACGTAATAATTCATTTCACTTTTTAAAACTTAGTTACCGATTTATTCCAGCACTCTGTCACTTACATCTACCCATTTAATCCTCTGTAATTATGTGAACTCTTCAAATTGTAATCACTTATTACGTAACCCAAGTTTTCAGTTGTTAAATCTACGGATCATTTATAACCTATAAGATTTTTACACCACTTATCTGTCAGTGAACTCCAGTCCATTATTACAACACCCATCCTTAATGTTTTATTGATTGTAAAAACAAATAATCTTTGACCTTAAACTGCACACATATATATATACTTATGTATACAGTCATTATTGATAACCTACGTTATTTCAATTGTTCATATTCAGGTATGTCAACTGTTTCCCACATCATTGTTAAGTCCTAATACATATTTAGCTGTAAGCAGTTGACGAGAAACTACGATATAATGAATGCATACCACTGTTCATCAATATTTCTCCCCGTTTCATTTTAATTCATAAGCGGAACTAATCACATGAAATTAAAATCTACTAAGCTACTGATACTAATTTGATGATAAATGTTATCGGACGAAGGTGAATATGTTATTTGGGTGCCTAATCTGTAAGACTTTACGTGGAAGTAGGGTTTGTTAATCCTTCTTAATTATTACAGATACTTAAACGTGAATATCATTGCTAATCATTTCCATGAAAGTAGGAATAAGATGAAGAAAAAAATTATGCAAAACTTTATTGAATAATCATTCTTGCCAAAGCAGAAAACCAAGTTTACAAGTTGGTATTAAGAATTCTGAAATAATAATTGTTCACTTTTGTCTCAAATTCCGTCGCGAAACTTTCACCATACTTCTCAATGATGCGAAGCTTATTGATTCTTTGACTTCCTTGAATGCTTATGTACACTTCACTCCGTCTTGGAAATGCAGTTGTTGTGTTATTTTGGAAGTTATGCGTAATATGTAACTTCCATTTGTTGCAATATCTAAGAAGTTGATGAGCTATGCAGTTTATATTTCATAATTGATATAACTTACCTGTAAGAGTTCGTCTTTTAACGTATGCAAGTAACACATGACGGCACGGCACGGCACGGATATCGACACATAGTAAGTGCTGCAATTACATTCACATGTTGTTACATCCACCTCGTAATGCCGTCCGCAGTCAACCATAAATAACCAGTCACCCGTTTCATATTCCAGATAAACAAAACGAATTCTTTTAAATTCATACAGCACTTTTGATCTTGCGAATGGAGTGAGCATGTTAAGCACGAGAAGCAGGCTCTGTGGAGCATTATATTTGTAAGATCTCCTGGCTATCACTTGATCTTCGATACTTTTCCTAGTTGACATCATTTCACTCCATTTTAAAGCCTTGTACATACATTTGTACAGACTATCACTTTTCCGTACATATCGTTTTATCTGCCTATTTAGCGACTCAACACGATTATTCGTGTTGTTACGCAATGTTGAAACATTACCGTAAAACGCACGCGCCCACATTGTCTTACGTGGCATCCAAAAACGTGATAGGTACTGGCCTATTATCTCTCTGTCCCTCCGGTTTATTATTCTGTAATATTGATTAAATCTAGTGAATAAGTACATTACAAAAATTACCTTCCGACCGTTTCCGCAGTTACCAATCGAGTCAAGTACGTTTTCAGTATTTTGTCGTTTGTCTAAGGGCAATTTTATATAAGAAACCATTGGTGTATCTTTTTCCGGAAAGCGCAAATTACATGAAAGGAGCACAGAATAATGTTTTGCATGTCTGTGTGTTATACAGACAGTTGCGCTTTCAGAGCGTGCGCAATCCCTCACAAATGTTTCTGTTAACATAGTGTTACCCATTATCTCTTTGAATTTATCTTAAATCCATATCACATCGGCACGCTTTTCTTTTCGAGTCCACCCAAACATTACAGTTCGTCCTCGACCCCAATTATCTGTCACCACTAACTGGAATAACGAATATCTACATAGTGAAACATATTCTTCTTGTCCATGGATCACAAAACATCCATGAACTACTACGTGAATGATTGTGGAGCATGTTGTAGGTTTTGAAGACATATCCTTGCTCCTCTAGTCTTACACGGATTTTAGATTGGCAATTACGGTTTAAACCGTGTCATCAGAAGAAAAAGAGAACTTGAAGCCAGTAATACTGCACTGTGAGTTGGCAGATGAAGTTATCGAAAGTATTAAGGAGAGAACTGGTAAGCAAGTAACCGCTGCCGATGTCAAAGCTATGAAAGGTGAACTCTCCACTGGTAAATGTATATAAACATATTTCAGGTTGTTTTACTCGGAAGCAGGTAATGGATATGCTGAGACAAAAAGGCGAATTGAGAGAACATTTAGAAAATGGATATGCCACGAGACTATGTTTCAGTAGTTATAACCAAATACAACAGTACAGGAAATATCCAGAAGTTCTGTGCATTGATTCTACGTATAATACTAACAATAAAAAGTGAATATGTTTTTCGTTGTATTTTACTATGTAGATATTTGTTATTCCAGTTAGTGGTGACAGATAATTGGGGTCGAGGACGAACTGTAATGTTTGGGTGGACTCGAAAAGAAAAGCGTGCCGATGTGATATGGATTTAAGATAAATTCAAAGAGATAATGGGTAACACTATGTTAACAGAAACATTTGTGAGGGATTGCGCACGCTCTGAAAGCGCAACTGTCTGTATAACACACAGACATGCAAAACATTATTCTGTGCTCCTTTCATGTAATTTGCGCTTTCCGGAAAAAGATACACCAATGGTTTCTTATATAAAATTGCCCTTAGACAAACGACAAAATACTGAAAACGTACTTGACTCGATTGGTAACTGCGGAAACGGTCGGAAGGTAATTTTTGTAATGTACTTATTCACTAGATTTAATCAATATTACAGAATAATAAACCGGAGGGACAGAGAGATAATAGGCCAGTACCTATCACGTTTTTGGATGCCACGTAAGACAATGTGGGCGCGTGCGTTTTACGGTAATGTTTCAACATTGCGTAACAACACGAATAATCGTGTTGAGTCGCTAAATAGGCAGATAAAACGATATGTACGGAAAAGTGATAGTCTGTACAAATGTATGTACAAGGCTTTAAAATGGAGTGAAATGATGTCAACTAGGAAAAGTATCGAAGATCAAGTGATAGCCAGGAGATCTTACAAATATAATGCTCCACAGAGCCTGCTTCTCGTGCTTAACATGCTCACTCCATTCGCAAGATCAAAAGTGCTGTATGAATTTAAAAGAATTCGTTTTGTTTATCTGGAATATGAAACGGGTGACTGGTTATTTATGGTTGACTGCGGACGGCATTACGAGGTGGATGTAACAACATGTGAATGTAATTGCAGCACTTACTATGTGTCGATATCCGTGCCGTGCCGTGCCGTCATGTGTTACTTGCATACGTTAAAAGACGAACTCTTACAGGTAAGTTATATCAATTATGAAATATAAACTGCATAGCTCATCAACTTCTTAGATATTGCAACAAATGGAAGTTACATATTACGCATAACTCAATATCACAGTCAGAAATATTACAATCGAGTTATCCAACATGTAACTGACCTCCACACTTGTGTGAAGAACAAGCTTTAAAATGTTCTAACCGCAAATTTACGCTAAACAACAAATAATTAGGCAGAACAAAAAGGTTATATCGATACTTTAAGCATGATCATAATAATATCCTGATGATGAAACTAATTGAAAATGTAGTGAAATGCATTCAATAAACTACACAGATCTCTCGCTGTTCTCTTTCTTAGCTTTCGTCGATAATGAATGAAGTTATAACAACTGTGATGAAATTTCAGCTAGTTACTAGGTAATCAGAAAGCAGCTTTTGTAAATGGATAGGTTATGGTAAAGAAAACAATAGCACTGGAATGTGTACACAAATTCTGTGCATTTGATAAATCTATTCAAATTATTATACTAGTTACTCAGTAAAGTGAAAAATCAAAGTCATATACATCCATCTTTGTGGATGACTCAAAAACCTCTAAATTATTTATGACTAGGGTAAGATATTTATGGTTAGGACTGGTAGTCACTAGTTTGCATCAGATATTATACAAAACATTTCCACGGAACAAATATGGATGACAGAATTCCACTAATCCAAGAGGCCATAAAATATAGTATATGAAGTGAATGTTCGTTTCAGCATTAAAGGTTTATGATTAGAATGTAAGGACAGTGTTGATTTCCTTGTTATTTACAATATACAAAGGAAAAACTAATTATATAATACATTTAACACTGTGGCAAAAATTAATATTTCGTTATGAGTTTGAACAAATACAAAAGTATGTCTAATATTAGTGATACGTGATTAATGAATGTTGCACAAAAACCTATAACTCATGTTCTAGCGTTATAATCTCTTTCTTACGGTATGGCCAAGCTATTCCTATTGCTTAGTAGTCTTGGACACCAAATCACTCGACAAGTCCCCAAATCAGAACACGGTTGAACAGGAAAGAGATTATATTCCAAATAACAAGGTTAGATGGAAGCCAATCAGCGTGCACTAAAGCAATCGTGCATTGAGCATGCTTTAATCCAGTCTATGTCCTGCTAACATCTTGATTTTTATTGGCTTTTCCTCATACTATATTTATTGTTTGAGCTATGTTGATGGGCGTAGACTACCTGGTTGAGATAAGAGTGACTAATGGTTGGAGACATTGTTAACATGGCTCAGAATCAGTGGAGACAGTGATGGGATTGATCTTGATCATTTCATTTTGTTGCGTTGATATGATCTGGTGACGTGAACCGATTCACGCTTGTGCTAATTTCTACGTTGCGCGTGATAATTATTTGCAACAAATATGATTTGAATGAATAGAACGAATGAAATTAAAAAACAATATCACTCACTCATATTTGTGGTTGATTTAGTCAAACTTATATCTTTTATCCGTAATATAAATGTAGCCGAATTGCCTTTGTTCAGTAGACGATCATGATTATTTTCGCGATGACCACTTTCACCGTAGCTGCTAAAAGAATCATCATCATCAATTGAATATTTGGTTGCTGCAATTTCGGGCGCGGGTAAATAGAACTCATGCGGTAAATTATTTCATTTGGGATTATATATTGCCTCAGTTAAGTGACTTCTCCATTCTGAACCACTTTTTACTATTTCATTATAATCTAAGCTGATTAAATAGCCACCAATCTGTTCAGGATCCACACAATTTTCATTAGATATTCATGTTACATGAGCTATTTAGAAAGAGATACAGCATTTGTAAAATGGAAATATAATGATGATAATAATAAAACTAATAGTCCGACAGTCAACAAGTAACAGTCAATTTAAAGTCTGGCACAAACGCTCGTTGGCCCCAGTTACCATATCACATTGGCAAATCGAGACGAACAGCAAAGGAGTGGAAATAACTGTAGTAGTAATGATAATGAAAAGACTAAACACTGAAACCATGGTTCGAAAAGGCAGAATGAATGGCAAACGTACGACGGAATAATGAAACTCCAGATCGAGAGGAGGACAAAGTGTGAATGTATATGTGCCATCGTGGTCCATTATTAGCCACGTCAACCGTCATCGCCAATTGCTGATCGTAGTTATTGCGTGGGCATCAACCAGGTAATTTGCACCAACCCATATGGCTCAGGCTAATAGCCAATAACTTGGTGGACTGATATTACATTTTAGTTCCAGTACCCCTAACATTCTTGCAAGTTATTCCTAAACCAGCTAACACTTTCCACCAAGATAGATGAAGGTTAGGCACACGTAACAAATGTCTTGACCGCCTCGATTGATGAAAAAAATGTTAGAAGATATTAAATATAGTAATAGTGAGATTACGTAAACTGATAGAAATAAAACTCATAGTTCAAATAATAAATGAATTCCGAGCTCAAACATCTCAATGGTAACATTCCAAACTATTACAATCAACAACTCACATTTCAACCTACCAGAAAGTATCAGTTCTATCAAAATTGCAAGTATGTTCTGATAACAAATACTAACCAGATGACAAACTAATTCAAGAAGTTCTTTTTTATGACTAATTTCAAATACTTAGTATGAAGAATCAATGTTAAACTTATAATGTTAATATCAGAAGGGGTTTTGTGGAGATTGTAGTAATTTCAACAGTTGAGATCATGAGTCAATTGAAGCTCACTACCATAGAAAACATGGAAGCACTGGACGGCCGTTTCGTCTTATTGTGGAACTCTTCGGCAATGCGCGTCCACGATAAATGTTTGTGGATGTAACCATTTAAATACAGTTACTTTAGAGTTATAAAGGGATAAAACAATCAAAATTGCAAACCATTTATCTCTCTGAGCAACTAAACAAATGAATATTTAACGTATCCTAATAAATATATGTACCATAAAATGTAAGCAAACTATTAATGTTTAACACCACATATCTCGAATATTTAGATTTTTATTTATAAACTTATCATAAATCAATACATACAGTGAATTTTTATTTATTTATTCGAAGACATAAATACTGGCACAAGGGGGCACCAGTTACATATGCACCACACAAATCTTATGTGTTATGTGTGGGCTGTGATACTGCCCGGGTGCCCAGACTGGAGCAGGACATACAGTGAGTAAAGCAACTTGATTTTTAAAAAAAAAATTGTGATTTTCAAAAACCGGCTATTTTAACAACATCAATATATATCACACTTTATTGGTTGAGGCTAAAACACTGCTTAGTTCTAGAAATAACAAGACAGTTACATATAAATATAAGTAGCTAGGAACAAGTGATTGTAACTAAGCCATGTCAAATACACGTAAATCAGTACAAAACAAGGTTAATTCAAATAATCAAGACAAATTTCATCGTTATCCCCTCCATTTAGTTCATTTTTATTCCATAGCAGATGACATGACATGACATGATTGGAGAGCTAGTGTAACCAAGTATAAGTACAACATCAGATTATTAAACGAATCTCGGTTTAAAAAAGAGTAGACAGAACCGAGGTCTAGTATACATGCTAGTAATAATTACATAAACAATGGTGCTCGGAGGCTGGTTACAACCCACATTTTTGCAAATGCAATTACAACACTTTGAAATTGCTGGTGTGCAAAGACGGTGGTTTTTAAATTGTCACTTACAGGCTGTATTGGATGAGATCCGAAATTCTGAAAGCTTCATTGAATCATTTTAAAAGTCTTTATAAACAAACAACTTCATTTTTATCCATGCGATAGATGAATTATGGCTAGGAGTAAAATATCAACAAAGATAGACCGAATTTCATAACAAGGATATTAACAACGTGATATCAAAACCTCTTTTAATTATAACAACGACAATCACTGGTCTTGCTGATTAACATTATATCGGTTCCATGACCCAGAGGATCATTGCCATTTTTCGTCCAGGTATATGCACAACGTAAGATAGCAGTTTCAGATTTTGACCACTTACAACTTCTGAAAACGAAGTCTCGTGAATTTCATTGTAGTATAATAACGTTTTAGCACATAAACAAATATCGTCAAGAGCTATTTAGGTGTACAAAACACAAACATTTATCTATTCGCTTCAATCTAAACGAATCCATACAAACGCTAAGTACACACAAATTAATTTTCTACAAAACGGACACTTGTTGTCAGTTTGATTTACACAGGTTTCTACGCTGTTCAACTTTAAAGTTAACCACGTTTTAAAGAGGAAATATTCAGTGCTTGAACACTGCTAATAAGCTAATTTCCGACGCTCTAACCTGGTTGGTGGATACAGAAGATCAACCTAGGGAAGTTGAAAAACCTTGATTCCAAATCGGTGGTGCACATGGGCTCTAGGAACCTGAAGGAACAAAGGGTGTATGAACCTATCGTTGACCACCGACTATCATGAGACTGCATCTCATAACGTCGATCCACTGTCTTGTGTGTTAGATCTGCACATCAGAGGCTCGAGGAATGACAAGCTTAGAAAACCACCTGTTTCAGTTTGAGTGCTTGATTGCTATTCTAGCCTTCACACTAATACAATGATCTGTGTAGCACATATGTACTTGGTGCCTTCTTGTACCAGTGTTTATGTGCTTAAATAAATTAAAACTATGTCACTTTTCATGGCACTTCATTAATGGACCAAATCATGTCATAGATACAAATATCCTGAGTTATACCCTGGAAACAAGATGAAACGGTACCATTGAGACAATTAATTTTCATTGATTATTGCTGTTAGTTTTAGTAATTCATAACTATTGGTGGCTACCACAAAAGTTCTCGAGTTGTTTTCATTTCAAATAGATGAAAACAACTTTGTATCAGGCACTCAGTTCTAGAAATTGAGTTTTAACGGCGAATTAAAACGTTCATTTTAATGATCATTTTATTAATAAACATGATGTGATGGTATAATTAAGAAAACTTGCCAATGACATTTCTGCAAACATGATCAAAGTAATCGCAATACTTACAGAACAGAATAATTTACAAAAATCACTTGATTGTGAACGAAATAAACTGTTCATACAGAGATGATTATAATCACGTGCTACGAAGAATTACTAGGTAACAAGTTGAAAATAATAGCCATAGATATAAAAACACAAGCAAGTTCTTTAAATATTTCACGGTAACTGAAGAAAGCAAAAACACCGGGAAAACTTTAATGGGTCAGACTATAATTTATGGAAGACCTTTCAGAGATACTGAAGGGACCTCGAGAGTGGGAACCTACTGACTAGGACTAAAAGCGGGTTATGCGGCAATTACAATTCTCAATGACGGTTGATGATTAAGATTAAATTTCGGGTTTTCATCACGAACCGACATCAGCTATAATGCCAAAACTCCATTTAGCCAAAAGTATGGATGAACCTCGCGTCATAACTCATGACTTTATTTTATATATGGTTAGTTCGTCCATAAATTATAGTTTCGCCGATTAATGGATGAAAAATCTTAACAACTCCGTTGAGCTTCTAGCGACGGTTCCTACAAACTTCCAGTCAAATGAATTGATCCTGTATAATCGTCATGTTGGCGATAAAAAGACTAGTAACTGCATCTATCTATCATAGTTTGAATAATGACCAAAATTCGAAGAATTACATGCATAATATAGGACATGAGTCAAGTTTTACTAATGAAACTAATTGTAAGGAGAAATTCAGACGACCAACAAGAAGGAAATAAAACATTCTACCTATAGACGATACAGCTTAAACCGATTGTTGGTTGACCATACAGTCAGACACCTGTAATATCTCAGAAAAAGCCAAAAGTAGTGGTTGTAAGGGTTAGAAACAACTGAACACATCACTAAACTTACTTGTTGAAATACAGTCATATTCTACGAACAACGCTGGTTCAGCTACATTGTCGATTATGAAAGAACATTCTCTCGCCAACAAATCACCAGATAAGTCAGATGAATAATGAACGGAATTTTTACATACAGAATGAACAGAACATCCTATAGATATATTGACAGTCACACCGACCCAACAATTTCGAGAATTGTGTGCACAACAACGATTGGTTGATTTCGACATAAGTAGAATCTCACGAAAATAACCAAAGTGAGCTCCGTGAATAATTATTGTTTTTCAGAGCAACAATGTTTGTGCCGAGACTCGTTATAGCATGACAATTCCCAATCTAAAATTCCGCAGTGATATAACTGGAAAAATGTATAATTACCAGCCGAAACTTCAGAAATGCAAATGAAGATGCATACTTAGTATGTAGAGAAAATACCAAGAAGCATACTTCAGATCTTCAGGGCATCCTCCAAACATGCATTTTGAAACTGTGCCACCACTGTGGTGAACCAAAAAGTATATTAACCGAAAAACAGCAATAAAGTTATTACGTCCAAAAGTTAATGTAGCAATAAACAACGCATAAGATAATAACAAACAAAAGTTTAGGGACGTCACTTAAATCAGAAATTTGGCGCGTTTCTTGTAGATTTTGGTACCAGAATCCACAATCATAGGTAAATAATAATTTCAACGAAACGATATGACTCCAGTAGTATATCAGGACGTAGAATGTAATGTGGATTTTACAACAGTCCATAAACAGAGATGATAGTTAATCAATCGTTCCGTTATCATATCCACAAACATGGTCGAACAAGGGACATATGTATAAAAGTGTATTCAATTATGAGCAGTTTACAATGTCATGCTACTTGAGATTCAAAAACGTGGGGAAGAGTGTAGTCGTTCAGGGTCATATACTTAAACAACAAGTGCAATCGATTAATGTTAAATGTACAGATTGTGAGAATTGGCAAACCAATGCAAAAGATAACAAAATCTATTTACAAAATAGGTTTATTTGGTCTATCTTCACAATACTCTCTGTAACTTGAGAATATGAGGACACAGCACTCACTTAATAGGACAATTAAATATGATTTAGCGTGAACTATTTTAAGAAAATTCTCGTGTACAAAAACATTTATGAAATCATTTTCAATAGGATTCTTAGGCAATATGAAATGGATTCAAATCAAAAGAAAAGAAACTCTCATATCCTTCAATAATACAGTCTAATACACCCAAAAAGTATACCATTCTCAATCTGTAAATAGCTACATTAGTCAAAAGCTCTAAATAACTTAACGTAGCTACAATAAAACAAACATTCAGATAAGAATTCTTAAACACTGACAACATAAAGGAGATCAGATCATTCATTGAATCTTGGTCATTTCATTATCAAACAATCAGTTACTGACTTAATATGAACTTAATTTGTTAATTAGTAATGACAATCATAAGACAAGAAATAAGTTACGTAAGAGCACTGTAGCGGACAATGAATCCCCAAAATAAATAGCTCTGTAAGTTTTCGACATTGGATGCTGACCATATGTTTTAGTGGACTCATCTAGCTGAAGGCGCTCGCTCATGCATCCACACCAGATCACGTGTGATAACGCTGTGCTCAACATCTATCGCAATCGCTAGCCGGATTAGATCAGAGAATTTCGATATATTGGTCAAATACACTCTTCCGATCTCCTCAACTCTGTCTTTTGATTTCTCTCGGTGGGAACAAGTTATATTAGGTGTTACTGGTAGAAGCGTTGTCAAACACTGAATACCTGTAACATCCACAGCACAATCAAATGTAAATGTCAAATGAATGATAACATTAAAATTGACTATGATCAAGTGAATTCAATTTTAATAAAGTAAGTTGTTATGAAATCGTATAGTAATTATAACATTTCATTTTGTCGTAAAGTTGATTCTGGTGAGGGACTTTAAGATCCACTGACAAAAGCTCATATGCAGAGCCATTGACGTAAAGCTATCATCGATGAAGAAAGAACGTCAACATAGCATGATTGGTATGGAAATGGAAGAACAATGAAGTCTGAGACAATCGATTGACATTTTACAAATGAACTATTTACTGTATGTATCTCAGAATTTATTAAGAGATTCTGTAATTCTGTATCCAAACACATTCGATTGTTCTCATTTGCCTTTTCATTTCCTACATATGGTGTCGCTACAAACCAGGAGGTGGGCTGAGGGCACTGTTCTTCAGGCAAGCTGCCAACTTTGGGGAAAATTGAGTCCATTTTGGGGAAATTTTGGGGAAGCCGCTATAATAAATTTTGGGGAAATTTTGGGGAAATGAGAAAAAAAAACCAAAATTTCCCCAGACCTGGGGAAATCCCCAAAATTTCCCCAACCTTTGGGGAAGGTTGGGGAAACTTTGGGGAAATTCTGGGGAACTTTGGGGAAATTTTGGGGAACTTTGGGGAAATTTTGGGGAAATCCCCAAAGTGAACTGAAGGTTTTGGTAATATAACTGACTACTGAATTTTAGTAAGTAGTATAAAATAATATACGAAAGAACAATTAAGCAACGGTTACGTCTGATATAGCCTGCGAAGCCGGATGAGAGGGGAACGGACACGATAGTTATATCATTTTGGGGAAGCTTCCCCAAACCTTTGGGTTTTCCTGGAAAACTGTTTTAACGCAAAAGCTTCTCGAAAGCCTATCGACATCACGGAAGACGTAGGAGAATGCTTACGTACATTTCTTACTGCGACGTTTTATTACTTTTCGTCAATCGCGCATTGCTAATGAAACATAATGTTAACCGATTTGTCACGATTGTCAAAAGACTGATTTATGAATTATATAAATGTTTATTACAGTTAATAAAATTACAAATGAATCATTTATACAAAGTTTTTCATTGCGTTGTAACAGCAACACGTTACGTCGACGTAGAAGTGTCATTGATAATGTTCTAAAAAATAAATAAATCATTTTTAGTGTATAATAACGCGTCGAGATATGTGAAAGATTGGTAATGTATCAATAGTATGACAATGTTCTTATTAATGCGAACAAAGAACTTACAGTAACGTCTGATAAAGCCTGCGAAGCCAGCTGAAAGGGAAACAGACAAGAGACAAGTTATATCACTTTGAGTATTGATCACTAAGTAATAAGCTGTTACAGTAATTAAAGTACAGTGATTATAGTGATAAATACAATGACGATTAACATCCTGTGAATTTTGGGGAAAACCCCAAAGTGAACTTCAGTTATTGGGAATACAACAGAATAATGCATTTTATTAAGTGGTATTAAACAATATAGAAAAGAGTAGGAAGGGGAATGAGTAGGAACAATGTGTGACAAAGTTAACATATGTATTATAACAAACATATTAAGTAGTTTTAGCTCACCCTTTCTTTGGATCGCCATCCACGTTTATGTACTTTATTTCTTGCGTCATGCAAGAAGGCCTGGCTTGCTGTAGCCATGGCGTGTAATATTTCTTTTTCCGGGCAGCTTGCACTTCGGAAATGTGAACACAAAGCACCTACAAATATGTTAATACAGTAAAGTTGACTTACTTTGAACCGTCGAGTAAAATTTGTACTTACTTATACCAAATTTACTTCTGGTTCCGTGCAAAGTGTAAATGTTCGCGAGTTCCGGCGACAGGATGTATTGAAGACAAGCTTTAGCTGATTTCCGAGTATCGTCACACATTAGGTTGCGTAACCTTGCCACCTAAAATTTATGCAAACACCTTTTACAACTTACGAAATGATCTCGGTATTTTTTGTTATCTAAAGCTGCCTCTAAAGAACGCAACTCCTCATGCGTTCTTAATGGGAAATGTATAGCATCACTATCCATTTCCTCTGTACGCCTATCGATCACACCCATGGCTGAGCGTTGACACAAAAATATGAGTTTGTCTATTTTCGTAGACAGCTCACTGACCGATTTCAGGAGCGTTCTTAACATTTTGTTTGTATCATCGCACAAACTTGTTATAAGGAATACAGTAAATGCAACTTACGGTTTATCAACTTCCGTCGACGTACGTGGAAGTGGTGGTGATGATACGTCAGCTGTCTATGAACTGCTATATGAGTATTGATAAAGTAGGTACAAACCTCGCAATAGGAGAAAACATTCCTGTTGAAATGTTGACCACTGGAAATTCCACCGGGGCAAATCCAGCCTCAACCTCAGCAACCTCTAGTTCTTCCGAGGTGCATAGATAATCATTGTGCTTTCGTTTGACAGTTCTAACACAAATGATATAATAAGTTGAACAATTTACCTTTTTGGTTTTTTAGCGTCACAAGGCTGCGTCTCATCGTTAGTCGTGATGTTAGTATTGTAGCCCAGTACTGTTGCTAAACACACTTTTAATTCCTGAGCTACATTGTAGTCGTCTGAAAACAATAAATGTTAATGGGTTACAACTTACCACAACGATGCATAACGGCACATTTTCTCACGTTGAATCGACTGTCAACATCAATACCCTCAACGATTTCGTGTTCACTGATATCATCACGATAAAGGTAATGATCGTTGGTCAGGAGCCATTTTTTCGGAATACAGACCACTTGCTTGTTTTCCTTATCGTCAACTAAGATGTATTTCCCACTTTGATGCTGTAAATAAATGCGCATGCGTGAAAAATTGTACATTTATTGCATTGATGAAAATTCACTAACACTTCCTGATGGAGAACGCAAAATCACTAACCAACAGACTCTTACTGGCTAAAGTGCTATATTTGCAACAGTCCTTGAGAAATGATGTCAGATCTGCTACTAGAATGTATGCAAAAGAGGGATAATTACCTCATAATGTTGTGTGCGCAAGCACATGCACTTACAAAGTATGTCTGTTACTGTTATCCACGTACATTCGTGGCTTAAGGTAGAACACTTAAACATACCAATATTACTGGATGGAAAAGGGTCGGTATATAAATCGGAAGGATTGTGGAATGGCCGGAACCTAATAAGACCTCCATCACGGATTTCTGTTACGAACCCTGGTCTACCTTTGGCAATAACTACATTGTCCGGCCTTGTAGTAGATAGCTTTGAGTTCCTGTAACTAACCATTAGCTTGGAAGAATTATCAGTTACCTCAGGTTCAGTGACATTGTCAGCCATATCCTGATTCAGTATACTTTGAAAGTAAACTTCTTCGGCATATCGCTGTGCGGCTTGTTTAGCCACAGCAAATCCACAGTGTACTGAACGCCTAATTTTTCTCATGTAGGACTCAAAAGGAAATGCTGCGAACGATTCTAAAGTACCATGTTCCATAACGTCGTCTACAATGTGCTTTAAACTATGCACATTGTAGATTAAGTGTTCGGTACCGTAACACCTTTCGTAACCTAATAAAAAGTTATTAATGTAAACCCTAACACTGTTAGCGAATATGCTATGAAACTTAGGGTGCGATAATAAATAAATGGACAAGGAGAGTGACTGGAAGTTTCTGTACATTGATAATGGTAACCTATTATGAAGAACTACAGGTCCTAAGTATAATAAGAACAACCGACATTCAGTTGCTTTCCATACAGAAACTTCATTAAGTGAACGACATTTCCGTTGAAAATCGCATGTCGTGTGTTGTCTACATAAGTCTAGTGCATCATTTATTGATGCGATAATTGATTGATCCATCCTATTCAGTCGCTTAATAGCTAGCTCCTTCCATAATGAAACAATTTTTTTGGTAACACCTAAATATATCATATGCATGGGTTCACAAGGGAAACATTTAATCATATCCACTGGCAAATTTTCAAATGAACTTGTGCCACGATGATGGATAGATTGGGACCTACGACGAAAACTGACATCATTTCTTAAGTCGTGTTCACCATTGGGGAAAGTCA